CTACTACCACCTTCTGAAAAGTTGCTTTCAGGTATACATTCTGCTATTTTATAAAAGGTACTGTGCAAAAGGATATTGTGTTTTCCTAGAACTAACTATCGTAGTATTTATTAAAATGGCAGGGATGCGTGTTTCATATTTTCTCTTAAGGTACATCAATGACAAGAGCACAGGGTCTTTTTTGATATTTTTCTATACTCCAGGATATCTTTTAAATATGTTTCTAAAGCTTACAATTTACACAGGTGAGGTGATTTCTTGCTTTCTGTCTCTCTGTCTCTCTCTGTCTGTCTGGCGAGCACATGCGCCCTATAGCAAAAACCTCTCCAAAAAAAAAAAAAATCCTCTCGCTCCCACTTATTTAAAAATGTTAGACGTGTGACTGTTCTCCAATCTGCTGCTTTTTGTACAGGAGTAATTCTGCATCCCAACAACAACAAGATTTAATTACGGTGGGTGGTTTCAGGTAGTGCTTTCCAAAATGTGACTCCATGAGTATTTGTTATCACAGTCTCCAAAATACTGCCCAATGCAACACTTCATTGCTAAGCAAATGCTTTTAACTGGAGAGTCCCAGGCCATACCTAAGGAATCAGATATCCAAGAGTAGGGCTGTAGAGTCTACTACCACCTTCTGAAAAGTTGCTTTCAGGTATACATTCTGCTATTTTATAAAAGGTACTGTGCAAAAGGATATTGTGTTTTCCTAGAACTAACTATCGTAGTATTTATTAAAATGGCAGGGATGCATGTTTCATATTTTCTCTTAAGGTACATCAATGACAAGAGCACAGGGTCTTTTTTGATATTTTTCTATACTCCAGGATATCTTTTAAATATGTTTCTAAAGCTTACAATTTACACATGCACACACAAACATAAGTATAATAGCTTCCACAATTTATTTAGTCAAGGTTTGCTAATGTCTCTTGGACTTCTACATGCAAAAGCCAACAAAATAACTAAACATGACTAATGAAAATGGATCAATGTCCTAATAAAAGTTTGCAATTGTTCCATATAGTTTTGTAGATAATCAGCATTTACTCCAATGAAAAAGAAAACTGGACATTTTTCAGTATTTTGAAGCTGAACATCTATAAAACATGTATCTATGTATAGATATATATGTATATATATACTGACACTTGCCTCATCCCAGTTCTGCTACTCAAATATATAGAATTTAAAAAGAAGAAAGGTTCCCTTTATCTTTATTTACTCAAGATTCCCTAAGCTACAGCCTAGCTGACCTATTCAAAATACCCACAACAAAATTTCCTCTTTTCAGCCAGTCGATATCTTCCTTGTATTAACATCAAGGCATGCCTTTGGAGAGATCTTTTACCTTGAATGTATGTACTCGCTGGATCATGCCTTCAACCACCAAGCTGGCAAGAGTATAATAAAATACTGATTGGAGGATCTGCAAGTGATGAGGTGAAAGAAAAATTTAATACTAGTATTCATGATATTTGTTGAGCCTTTTAGCTCATTATGCCTATTATGAATATGTTCAAAATTTTTTTGTACATAAGTATTATTTATCAACATCTGTTGGAAAACGAACTGCTCACTTTAAACTGTTATGTTAATGAAACATGGAGATCCATTCTCCTAGGTGAGAGGAAAAAACTCACCACGCGACTTGATCTTATTTATTGTCACTTTGTTTTGTTTAAAATTTATTTATTTCTTCCATGAGCAACAGGAGGGGGAAGGAGGGAGGAAGGAATGAAGGGTGGGAGAAATGAAAAGAGACAAAAAGAGAACCCCCAACAGGGTCTAAATGCCACAACCCACCCACAGCTTTAGCCAGTCCCAGATCATGGACACACGCGTGCCTGACACACTCGGGGAGGGATCCGGGCGCAAACCTGGAATCCTCCCAGGTGGGTCAGCCTCAGAGCATTCCATTTTACTGCTGCATCATCCAGCCCCTTTTCTTTTTTCCCAAAAGAAAAACATTCAAAATAAAACAAACATTTAATTGCCTTTAAATAGTAAATGAAATAATTTACATGCAATACATCTAAACACATTGAAAAAAAATCCGATTTTAAAAGACATATACACAATCTGCTTTTTGCCAACATATGCCCGATAGGTCACTTAAAATGTTAACTGATGTTTGAGTCCATATGTGAACATACAGACAGACACACACACGCACACACACACACACGCGCGCACGCACGCATATAGGCCTAAAGTTGAAGAAAGAGATAATAAACCAAAGAGTTGAATATAAAAAATCTGCCACAGAAGATTTTAAAACCACAATCAATGACTGGAACCAAGGCACAAAAGCTTCCCTTTGTAGTTACAGAGATTAAGTTCCCTTTCCCAAGGCTTAAATATGGAAATAGGAATGGTTAATAATCACATACTATATTCAATAATACATTTGTTATTGTTTAAAAAGGAGTATTTTTCTTATTATATAATGTATTACAGAAAAATCACTGGAAAAATAAACAGGATCAGATAAGCTTTGATATGATAAAGCTTTTTTTCACATGAAAAAGATGTTTATGTTCAAAACCAAGACAATAGATACAGGTGTACTAACGAGAAGCATGAGGGGTCCTATGCACATTTCCTAGTATCCTAATATGCTTGAATGATGCCTCATGTCACCCAGTTACTAAAACTGTCAAGGTTACAGCCAGCTGGGTGATACTGATACAGTTGCAAATTTGTTTGTTATTTAAAGATATGTACAAGTATGCAGACTAAACAATTAATATCACATAGTAAAACTGAAACCTTTTCCAGAGTTTAAGCTGCTTTTGTTAAACATTAATTTTATGCTAAGTTCTCCTTAATTTTCCTTTTCTTCTATATTTAACTGAGAAGAAAAATATGTCCCACATAGAAATGTTTTAAAATTCATGCACCCAAGCAAAATCTAATCTATCCATACTTCCCTTTTTATTTAACCCAAAAGTTTTTACGTAAACTGAAAGTTGTATATTGCAGAAATAGCAACTCACTGAAAGATAAGGCAGTTTAAATATGTATGTATGTATTATTCACTGTTTCTAAGAACAGTTTAGAGCTTCAGTTCTTTAAATTTAAAAGTTACCAAAGGAATAAAGCCAATCACAAAATAATCAACAGAATGCTATAATCCATATATAAAAGACAGTCAAATGTGCTTATATGTATTTCAAGAAATCGATTATCAGTCTAAGCTGTGAACAGTAAATCATCAAAAGTAGCACTAAACAAAGTGTAATCAGAACAAAACCTTCAGCTTCATTCATTTTGAATATGGAAGTGAGGCAGGCTGAACGTGAACTAAACAATGTACTTCAGCAACTGTTTGTATCGGAGTATTGTAGCATGCAATGCCTATAGTCATGGGAGCACAATTCTTTACAATACTAACAAGGCTGACCAGAAGAAGATCAAAAATAAAAAAAATCTTGTTCTGGCTATAAAACTTATGGGTAAAGAATAAACTGAGATTTTTTTTAAGGCTTTCTTAGAAATATTATTCATGGCACTTCAACATTAAACATCACTAATAGGCAAAATAAGTAAATATTCATAGTTACACAGTTACATAATTGAACGCACATGCCATGTTATTTATTAAGGACCATTTTGTCAAGTTTTGCTTTCTTGCAGTTAAATTACATTTAAGGAAGGCTGTTCATGTTTGGCTGTAATTAACATATAAATCATACAGAGCGGTCAATTCACTAGTGTACAGTGAGAATTCTCTTTTGAGTAAATCTAACAAGTGCCACTTATTTCTTATAGAACTGACTGTCATTACTTGCTAGAAATGCGATTAAACTGACTTATTTTTCTCACAAGAGCAGTTATTATCCTTTCTTCAACTATTAACTTACTGTTAAACCCTAAAATCATTAATAGACAAGTTCCTTTTGGCCATGGGCACAGATCATCCTTGCAAATAACCCATTTCTTGCCCTGCAGTCTAGAAAACACTTAGGAGTCTAACAAGTCATTCTTGCCACGCCATACTCCAAGCTGACGACAGCAGGTTCAGACTTGGAAAACTCTTCTGCATATTCACTGTAACGATTATCTGCTGGGTTGCTGCCCTCTATAGTTCGAAGAGCATCATTCACAGGTAGCAAAGTCTGTTCTTTAAAACACAGGGAAGTTTTGAGAGTAGGTGACTCAGGATGAACAGAAAGTAACAATTCCTTGGTGAGGATATCATCTGTTTGCTTATTTTTACGTTGTTTAATTTTCTAGAACAAATATAAATTGGAAAAAAATTATTAATTGCACACACCAATTATGTGTTAGATGAAAAAATGCTTTGCAAATGTTCTCTTTATGTATGACACAAAATTAAATCTCAAAAAAATAATAAAATCTAGCATCTGACATAGTTGAAAAACCTAATTGTTTACAACTTTTGCAGTAGAAAATGGGTAGTTACATTTTTATATTTATTTAAACAATCCCACCTGACTTGACTACAAACGATGACTGAGCCTTCTTTTTTTTTTTT